ATACATATATATTTTATTTATATTTATATACACTTTTCACATATATATATATATATATATATATATATATATATATATATATATATATATATATACTTTTAAAATTAGGAGATCAGTTGGATGTAATAGAAAGTGTTGGTAGGATGAGATAGAAGAAGAAGAAGAAGAAGAAGAAGAAGAAGAAGAAGAAGAAGAAGAAGAAAGGAGAGATGTGAAAAGCAAGGTATTACAGTGGTGGATGGTAATTGAAATTGTTTTATCTAGCTTCATATGTGCTTAAGAGGAATTTTTTGTATGTTTTTTTATGATTTCGTATCTCTGGTTCAAAAGTTTTGGGAAACCGGAAATCTATTAGTTATTAATAAATAAAGAATAAAACATAGGATGTACTGAAGGTACATTGAAACGAAGATGGTACAATCATAGGTCATCATTCAACCTAGTAATTCTTAGGAACTCTACCAATGTATGGAAGTTATAAAACAAGGATCCGATTGCAAACTGGAATTTTTTTAAAAAGGTGAAGCCTTATAACAACCACAACAACATTTGCAACCTCTGCCAACAGGAAAAATTAGCAATAATGACATTTCCAGATCCATTATTAAAAATTCAAAACATTTTATTGAACTTCATATTCAGACATTTTTCTATTGAACTTCAGATTAAAGATCATAAATTATTATTATTCTAATTTTAATTTCTTCCTATATAGTAACTTCCTTGTAATAACTAGTAATTTGTTTCATTTCAGTATCACGACACTAAAATGAAAAGACAAGATTTATTTCACTTTTTTTTTAAATCTCCAGAAGTGAAAGTGTCAGACAAGAGGAAAATGAGGATGAAACATGGCTAACTTTAGAGCATGACGCTAATGAAAGTTCTGCTCCTGAGGCCGTGAAAACTAGAGGTTGAAACATTAGCACTTTCAGATTGCCAGAGTATGGAAGAGTATGAGAACTTCAAGAAAAAAGTACGATGTGTTGATTATTGTTACAGTAAAAAAAATGGGTGGGATCTATGTGCCAGATTTATTCTGGATCCATAAACGTGAAAGGAATTCACGTATAAAAGGAATGGGTCTGCTGCAGTATTGAACTTTCAAGATGGAATAAAATAATTCAGTGAGCTTCTTTCTCAAAGAAAAAAGATAAATATGAATTTCTCATCAAAGTCTTACAGTATTTGTGTTAAGTGCCTTCAAGATCGTGCTGATGATGCAATTACAAAAGCCATGCATAAATTGAATCAAAAATATATAGACCCTACTAAGAGAGTTTTCAATAGCTTATAGTTTACCAAAGAGGAGTCGTCCATTTTCTGATGTCGAAGATGAGACTCAGCTTCAAATGAAAAATGGTTTGACTTCATTCTCGAAAAACTGCTTTGAAAATAATAGACCATATTGCAAAGGATATAAGGAAACAAATATTCACTAAAATTATTGAACAAAAATTAAAGATTTCTGTCAGGAAACCTCAATCATATCCTTCTTCTTTCTTTTTATGTGCCATGTTTTTCAGGGCGTAGGCGATCATGGCTCTCCACTTCCCCCCTATCCCTTGTATGTCTCATTAAGTTTCGTCCCACTGGCACCTCCCGCACACCATGTTCTGTCATACACTTGCTTAAGACCGCTAGGTATATCATGCGTTGCTTCCTTTTATCTCTTTTTCTCTCTATTCGACCTGTGAATATCAGATTCTCCAAGCCCTCCTTTCTCATTACGTGTCCCAGAAATTTCAGCTGACCCTTCCTGATGTTAAGTATAAGCCTTCCTTGTTTGCATCCTCTCCAAGACGCCATCATTACTCACACATTCCGTCCATGATATCCTCAGCATCCTTCTATAAAACCATACCTTCGTTGCCTCGTGTCTCTTCGTCTTTGAGGAGACCGTCCAACATTCGCTGCCGTAGAGGAAAGCAGATGTCACATATCAGTCCGATTTTCTTTGTTACCAAAGAGATCCTCCTGTCTCGCAATACACTACCAAGGTTTTGCCCATCCCAATACGTCTACGGATCTCCGTGTCGCACTTATTATCCTCCTTCAAAACAGTACCCAGATATTTAAACTTCTGCATGCTTGATTTTAGTGTCCTCGACCTGTAAATCGTTTCGGGCTGCTCATCCTTTTACTGATGACCATGCATTCTGTCTTCTTGTAAATTATGCTTATCCAGTGAACCTGTCCTTGTATTTTTTAAAGATTAAAAGTTTATATATATATATATATATATATATATATATATATATATATATATATTTTTTGGATAGATGTGAGTTTGAAGATGGTTTCACGTTAGCAATCGTCAAACAAACTGTTCGTCTGACGATCGCTAAAGGTGAAACCCAGGATCACAAACTCACATCTATCCAACCAAATATGTTAGCTCTCTCTGATATTGAGCGCTTTCTAATAAGTACTAGATATAATATATAAATAATTATACATATATATATTTATTTATATTTATATACATTTTCACATATATATATATATATATATATATATATATATATATATATATATATATATATAGTAATATAAATATAAGTAATTATACTAAAAAACTTAGGTGTTTTGGCTTTGAACAAACCAATAACCAAGGAAAATAAAATAGAAAAGAAAAGACTAAGAACATGTAATTGAGGCACAATCGTCCAGAATCCAAGTTCTGAGTTCAAAAGAAAAAAAACTCAAAACGAGTAAATCAAAAATAACTAAGCTCAATACTTTTCTAACTATGAACCTAAAGAGCAAGGTAAACAAGATCCTCAGGGCCAGCCTACCCTGACGATCCGCGTAGGTGAAACCAAATGGTTTTCCTGGCTCTTTAGGTTCATAGTTAAATTTGCTCTGCTTAGCGTATTGAGCAATTTGCTTAGTTATTTTTGAACTTTTGAGGTTTACCTGGTTCTTTAATTTCATATATATATATATATATATATATATATATATGTGACTTTTTAAACAGTTTGGATTTGATAATGAATGAGAAATAACTTTAATTGTTTTTTTTTGATAAGATGGAGCCAGTGTAATGTTTGGCCAGAATTCTGGATTAGGCACTAGATTAAAAACAATTTTCTTAACATTGGCATTTGGCATTGTTTAAATCATCGTTTAAACTAGTCTTGTATGATTCTTTCAATGAAATAAAACAAATGAATCACTTCAGATTATTCATCGATAAAATCTACTCAATCTTTTACCAATCAAACAACTACCAAATGAAACTTGTCAAAATTTCTGAAGAACTTGGACAACAATTTCTGAAGATAGAGTTCTGGGACCAAGATGGATTGATTGTAGTTTGAGATCTGCACTTGCTTGTATGGCGTGCTTATCCAGCATTGTACAAATATTTCTCAGGTAAGACGAAACATTGATGAATTGCTTGCTTGTATTTGCAATAAATATTTCTTGCATGACTTGAAATTGATGATAGATATACTGTAAGAAATGTTTTTACTAGCTAATGCCCATCAAGCTAAATGTTTAACTTTGTCAAGAGCCGAAAAACTTATTAAAAGTTCTAGTAAGGCATTTTAAATACTCAAAGAAAGTACTGGAGATTTGAAAAGGAAATTGATGATAGAGTTTATTCTGATGCACTTAAGGATATTCATTTAATTGAAAACCATGGATTTGGTTGCCATCCTCGTAAAAAAGTTGCTGGACGCAATAATCAAAAATATGAAAAACAGGTTAATGGACTGGGATCATTTAATAGCCAAGAACAAATATCAGAAAACAGACAACAAATTTAATGAACTGCTACTTGGAATATTCAAGAAATATACAGGGTGTTCATAATGTTCGTGTGCACATAAAAAATTAGAACTTTATTTGTATTTGCGATAGAAATAATCTGTAAAAATGTTATAAATTTTAATGTACCTAGTTTTAAGTATAGCTAAAATAACTAATGTAATTTCGGGCATTACTGTAAATCAGTTGGCAAATGTTTTCCGTGAACTCCAAAATCGTATTACCCTTTGTATTGCTAATGATGGAGGGCATGTGGAAACTTAAATAAAATTTCAATAAAACCTTTAAAAATGTAGATTTACTTCTTTCTAATCCTTTTTACAAATTATTTCTATCGCAAATACAAATAAAGTTATACATTATTTAAAGTGCACACGAACTTTATGGACACCCGGTATATATGCTTTATCTATTTTGGTGGAGAGGAAGATGGTGTGATCAATATACACATTCAATGAAAAGCGTATAAATGGGAATGTATATAAAACATTCATGAACGGCTTTGCGTGTCGTTGGGCCAGTTCTCGTCAAGTGAGATCGCGAAACATATCGCGAGACTTTTTTTTCTAATTAGCGGATCGTTTTGAAAATATTTCACGCGAACCTCAAATGTTGAATTCACTCCCATTTAAATTTATTTGATGTGACAACTGTTAGATTTCGTATACATTTTTCTTCTTGTATATGTCTTTTCAAGGTCTAGGCGATAATGTCTCTCCACAACTTAAAACTTCATTTTTATCATTTCTCTTTGTTTTTATTCTACCAACCATTTACACAAGCTTGTTTTCTCCTACCTCTTCAATATGTCTTATGCGTGTCAAATTTTCTAGACCCTCTTTCCTGCTTATTTTCCCGAAATTTCAATTGTCTTTTTTTTTCTTTTTTTTTTTGCTATTTCTATTTTCCTTAAAATGTCTCCGTTAATCACAATCAATTGCATTCTAAGCAATTTTCCTAACGATATTTTCTCATGTCTTTGCACATTGCTTAGTTTCTGAAAGACATCTTTCACTAATTCAATGCACCTTTGGATTTCTGTCACATTTTCCGTCCATCATACTACCTAGGTACTTGAATTTTTCTATCTATTTGTTTATATTTCCAATCTGTAACTCACACATGAAGTTATATCTTTTGCTGACGAGCATATATTTTGTCTTTATACACTTAATAGTTAGTCCTTTCTTCTTACTTTCCATCGGTTTACAATCACATCCCGTTGAAAATCGGTTCCCATGCGATCATCGAAGTTAAGCAACGTTGTACCTGGTCTGTATCTAGATGGGTGACAGCTTCGGAATGGCACGTGCTGTAAGCTTGGATGTGCGGGTGGTGTAATGGATAATGGCCCGAAATTGTTAATCAGACAGCCGTGTTCCAATTCTCGTTATGTATACATCCTTGTATAAAATGATTGAAACAACCGCATTAGTTTGCTTTCTTTCATTATACGACCGGGTTTAGACCTACTGGAGTGACAGGATGTAACTGATTTCGATTTTTCCTCAGATTAGGTCATTTGCAGTGGTGTGCAGTAATATGAATCTATTGTTTGGCCTTGAAAAATATTGCGTCATCCGTGATTGCATCAGATTTTAATCACTCCCAGACACTATTGTCTCGACTGTCGATTAGTTGTCCTAAATCCATTGTCAGCGATGGAAGTTACTGCAAGGAAGAGTACGAAAATTGTAATGCTGCACAAACACAATGGCAAGCTTTAACAGTGAGCAAATCAAAGTACTATCGACTGGCTCGGAAACTCTCCTGATTTAAATCAAATCGATAATCTGTGGTCAATCTACAAGTAACGATTTTGTGGAATGGACATACGAGGTAGTAATATGTGTAGTGGGTCATGTTTCCTTGGAAAAATACGAAAAAAGAGTAAATAGTAACGGAATTATTCGTTTTGTTTCAATTAATTTTCACAAGGGTGTATATCCGTTATATTCATTTCTCTCAGCTATGACTTAATTAGTAAGAGTTCTCTCACTAAATCATTATTATTTCTATAAAAAAGTTCTTACAACCTGAAAATATTTGTTGGCTTTAAATAACCTGCAAATGGTTGATAAGCCATAGAAATGGAAGCAATCAATAAATCAATTGCTTTCCATTGGTTCAGGATTATAATGTCATCCGCGTATCTTGTGTACGTGCACCAAAAATAAATCCTGGTAGGAGTTCGAATTCTTTTAGGGTCGTCTCGTTATAAATGTCGAATAAATCTAATGTGAAAAGTCAATATTATTTGCCCTCTCTAAATCATATAACTACTGCCTCAATGAATCTTGTTTTCCACCCAGTTGGAAGTCCTCATCCGTTCTTCCTCTCCAGGAAACCCTTCTGACCCTTCTAATTACCGTCCTATCAGTCTCTTCGGTAAAGTCTTTGAAGCTTTAATCAACGCCGAAGTGGTTATACACCTTACATCCCATAATCTGCTCTCCGAAAAGCAATATGATTTCCGGTTTTCCCATTCTACAGCTGATGTGCTTACGACCATGACTGAAATTGTTTACCAAGCACTTCATAATAACGGAGAAGCTCGTGCCGTGGCTCTTGATATCTCCAAAGCGTTTGGCATGCCGGCCTTTTTCGCAAGCTCCAGGGTTATGGAATTACAGGTTAATTGTTCAACTTAATACAATCATTCCTGTCGAACCGTACATTGAAGGTCGTTCTGAACGGATTCTCCTCCAGCTCTTATCCCACGAATGCAGGTGTTCCCCAAGGCTCCATCTTAAGCCTTACTCTGTCCCTTATCTTCATCAACGATCTTCCTGACGTCATAGATTCCCAAGTCGGCATCTACGCGGACGACACTACAATTTACACCTGCCTCAAAAATCAAATCTAGTGTCGCCGACAAAACTAACCTGGCCGTTTGTCTTGAAAAGGACCTCCAATCAGTTGTGGACTGGGGCAGGAATTGGCTGGTTAACTTTAATGACTCAAAAACAAAACTGCTTTCATATATATGGAGAGGGAGAGAGAAAATTAATACAAGTTAAATATTTCTCACTTGGCTGATTGATGTTACCTTCAGCATCGCGACTCGTACACAGGACCGGGAAACTTCAGTGGTTATCAATAATCCAGCGTTTTGACTTCTCTTTTTTTTTCTATTGTATATACACTTTACATTTGTACAAGATTTTTCATCCTTGCCTCCCCATTAGAATGTCTGACGCTCAACTCCACGAGAGCACCTCTTTGCGACTTCTCGGTCTCACATTGTCCGCTGACCTGAGATAGAACAAATACATTGAGTTAATAGCTTCGTCCACCGCTAGGAAAGTTGGCTCCCTATGCCGCGCCAGAAATTTTCCTCACCGGAGTCGAGCCTTCAAATCTACAAATCAACCATTCGCCCTTGCATGGGGTATTGCTACCATATATGGTCTGGATCCTCTTCTAATTGTCTCAAGGTCCTTGATAAAATCCAAAGACGGATATGCAATGTAATTGTCTCTGATCTGGCATCTCGTCTGCAGTCGCTCTCTCACAGACGTGCCGTTGCCTCCCTCTGTCTTGTTTACAAATATTTTCACGGTAACTGCTCCGATGAGCTGCTTTCACTGGTTCCCAGACTTCATGAATTTAAGTGTTCTACTAGGCTGGCATCTCGCTCTCACCCTTTCACTGTCGAAACTGTTAAATGTAGCCGTCTCTTCTACTCCAATAGCTTCATGTCTCGCACTTCTCGCCTGTGAAACTCCCTCCCCATTCATTGTTTTCCTGATAACTATAATCTCCAACTATTTAAATGTAACGTCAATCGATGTCTCCAGATGTCCTGATCTTCACCCTTTCTTCTATTTCTCGCTTCTATTCTGAAACCCTTTGCGTGCTAGTGGCTTCCCGCCTTGCTTGGGGTTGAATGCTTAAAAAAAAAATTTCACTATTTTCTATTTTTGCGCATTCATTGAATTTGTTCTTTATTAACATGGAGGTTATTTGTTCCTGGTAAATGTTTTGGACGACCCGAATATCTTTACCGTGGAAATAAAGCCTTTCTTTTTAATTTTGCTCAGAGACACTTTTAACTTAGTTTGATTTATTTCTAAAGAATTCCAGTAGTCATCAATATTTCATTTATACAAATTATCGAGTAATATCTAGAAATGACACTCCGACTTAATATTTTATCGTTCACACATTTCGAAACAATATGAAGTCCTCATTCGGAATCCCTATCTGTTGCTACGTCACGTTCTTAATTTCATTCATGGTTGAAAACCTCTCCACTTTCAGTGTTGACTATATCTTTGAGAAAGGGTGATGCAACTAATGCGATGTTTTGCCTAAACCAAACGTGAAAGCGATTGTCAAGGTATTTAAAATGGTTAGATATTTTTCCGACATTCACTGGAATTCATGGATCTTTTTCGTCTTCTTCGGCGTCCTATTTATTCATGTCTAGCATTTTCTACTTATTGAAGATATTCAAAATATGCATTTTTTTTTATCCTGAAGGAATGTTTCATCATTTTTTTAACTTATTGTGAAGAGCGATTACCGCCTTTTTTAATCTAAGTAAGCGCAGTTTTCGTTTCACTAATTCTTTTTTTTTTTTTTTCACAGGGCGGAGATCATACTAAAAATCTTCCTTCCGATCCCATTAGATAGGTAACAACTTTGAATAAGGCTTTAGTTATTGGCAGTTACTGTGGATTGCCCCAGAATCTCTTGAGTTCTATGTGGTTGTAAAATAGTAACTTTTCATTGGCTATGGTTAGCAGAGGCTTGTTTCAGTTTTTTTTTTACCCCAAGCAAGGTGGGAGTGCCACTAGCACGCAAGGGGTTACAGAGGGTGAAAGCAAGAGTAAAGAGACGTGTTTGAGGAAACGATAAAGAGAAGGACGAGGAATTAGATCATGGCATCAGAAGATGTCGATTGACATTACATTTGAATATTTGAAGACTATAGCTATAAGGGAAGCAAGTAAAAGGAAGGGAGTTCCACAGGCGAGAAATGCGAGACATGAAGATATTGTCGTAGAAGAAACAGCTACATTTAAACGTTTCGACAGTGAAAGAGTAGGACTAAGATGCCAAACTAGTAACACGTTTAAATTCATGCAGTTTGGGAACCAGCGAAAATAGCTTGAACAGAACAGTGTGGACTCCAGACCATATATAACAGCAGTATTTCATGCAAGGGCGAATGGGTGATTTAAGGATGGACTCAGGCGAGAAAAACTTTCTGGCGCGACACAGAGAACCAACTTTCCTTGCGGTAGATGAAGCTATTGATTCAATGCATTTCTTCCACCTTATGTCAGCGGACAGCGTGAGACCAAGCAGACGCAGAGAGGCGCTCTCGTGGAGTTGAACATCAGACATTCTAATGGAAGGCAGAGAGGGTTCTCTACGTTGGGTAAATGAGAGAAGTTTTGTTTCTGAGGCATTAAAATGGAACAGTTTTGGTGTTTGGAAGCCTCACATCAAAGTGACTAACATACCAAGGTGATGATCTGTTGTTTTATTTTTACTCTTCTTATATATATAGATATACTTTTAAAATGAAATAAATAATAAATTTGTGTACCTTACACAGATTATTTAAGAAATATATTCCATCCTCTACTAGATATATAAGTTTAGAGATTGCGATTTTGTGTTGGTTTTTAGCATTTGCAGCTGAGATATGATTAATAAGATGCTAGACAAGAATCTTATTACGGGTAGAGTTAGGTTAGTTCTCACTGGCTGGCTCAATATTTCAATATATTTGCATCCATACCCAATTAATAAATCACAATGTTTCAAATTAATGAAATAAAAAAGGCATAATAAAAAACCAAAATAGATTTAACCTGCACATTTCCGAAAGAAAAAAATAATTCGTTATTCATTCTTGAATCAGACGTCAGTTATTAAAGAAAAACGCCCATTTTTATGCAGCCATATTGGAAATCGATCACGTGATACATGGGATGAATAGAACAGATCGATAACGGTTTTGTTTCGGCGAGGCTCTCGTTCGAAGATGAAACGCGGCCGACATGGACGTCTACCTGAGTCACGCATGCGCCTCAGCAATCCTATCCCACAGTTGATCCAACGAGGAAGAAAAAGCTTAAAGAATCATGTGATCCGTGACCTTCCCGCAATACGCTTCCGCTTCTAATTCCTTTCCGTCTAAAAGGAAATGGGTACGGATGGAGGCTTGTGAATTTGTTGGAATCGCTCGACGTTCCGGACATAGATGGAAGTAACGTTAGCAAAAGAATCATTATCTTCTGATCGGCGAAAATTCTGACGGATAATATGAAATCTGTCAATGGCGGAAAAGAATGTCATGACG